ATGATTTATATAAATAAAAATTTTAATTGAATAATTAATTTTTAAAAATATTAATTAAAAAATAAAAATTTAAATATATGCTAAAATAAATTAAGAAATCAACTATATGTAAAACTCTTTTCCTATAAAGGAAATGGATATGCAACGAAAATGCATCTCAACGTGGAGTAAGACTTCGCTGTAATCTCCGTCCACCACACTTAACACATCAGCTAGTTTGCTCCTCGTTTGTCTACTTTACTCCGTTAACATTTGCTCATCGTTGCCCTAATTGAGAAACAAGAGAAATGAGGTTTTAGTTGAATTGATGTTTATTAATTTTAAAAAATTAATTTAAAATAAAAATTAAAGACTTAAATATTTGTAGTGTCTAACAATTAATTTATAATATATCAAAAAAAAAAAAAAGAGGAAAAAAACCGCAGTGCCCTGCGCTTTATCATTAATTGGCCCACATGGCTGATGTGTTAAATTTTCAATGGATAATATCTCTGATTGTGAAACTAAAGACTTTCTCCTTGATTGAATTTAACAATTAAATAGTCTATTAATTATTTTTTTATCTAATTAGTATATTAATAAAGTTTGCATCTTTATCTCCACATTTTTTATTATATTTGTTTAGTCGGTTAAAGGTCCGTCTATGAGCTAACGGAAATCCTCATTGGCACCTATGTGGCACCAAATTAGTTGCCACATAGGCACCACATGGTGAATTTAATTAATATAATAAAAAGATTGTATTATACGAATAATTTTTTTATATTATTTTTTTATATAATTTTTACATGTAATTAAATGAGTAAATGCATTTAACATTATGAATCTCATATAAATAAAAAGAATTAATCATTTAAATGATACATCATATTGTATCAAAAAGTGATACAAAAATATTAACTCAAAATCATTTCTCATTATAAAATTTAAACTTCCAATTATTAAAATTAATTTTTTAATTAACTAAACTCTAAATCTTGGTAAAAAGCAAAACCCATCTAATTTTTTTCATAATCAAGCCACTCTTAAACTTATCTTAGAAAGTTCTCAAAAAACTTTGTTTTTGTAATCGATCCCATTTGAAATTTAATTAGCTTCCCCTGACTTAAGGCGTCCGCTGATTCTCTCACGTTAAGGGGTGGGTCGGCTGATTCTTCTTCTCTCACATTAAGGGGTGGGTCAGCTGATTCTTCTTTTCTCACACCATGACGTCAGCTGATTCTTCTTCTCTCACCTTAATTATGGACTCAGCTAATTCTTCTTCTCTCACCTTAATTATGGACTCAGCTAATTCTTCCTCTCTCAAATTGACGGGTCAGCTGCTTCTTCTCGCTCACGTTAGTTAAGGCTCAGCTAATTCTTCTTTAATTTCTCATACTAAGGGTCAGCTGATTCTTCTTCTCTCGCATTAGTTATGGGCTCAACTAATTCTTCTTCTCTCACGTTAAGGGGTCAGCCGATTCTTCTTTTTTTTACATAATGAGTAAATAAAAATATCAATTTTATAAATTTTTATTTAATAATGTTAATTTTATTTATTTTTAAATAAAAATATTAATTTTTATTTTTTATATTTAAAAATATTAATTTTTAATTTTTTTATTTAAAATTTAATTAAATGATAATACTAATATAATAAATTTATTTTTTACTCGAAATGTTAATATTTTTAAATAAAAAAATTAAAAATTAATATTTTTAAATTAAAAAAATTAAAAGTAAATACAAAATTGAACCTGACCCTTTAAGTCAAGTGACTCTAATCACGTTTGTAAGATTCATATCCTCTTTCCAAGGTAACGGTTCAAACCGACCCGATGACAAAAATATTAAAAAAAAAAAAAAAAAAGAGTAAGTACAAAATTAACATTACTATTTGCGCATTTTCTAGGGATCAGTTGATTCTTCTTCTCTCACATTTTTTATTATTATTTTGAACTGCTTCTCGCACAGTAATAATGGGCTCAGCTGATTTCTTCTTTCTTCTCTCACATTAAGGCGCTTCTACTTTATCTCAGCTGGTCTAAAACTTCACATTAAGGCATCCTCTCCTCACTCTCAGCTGATCTATCCTTTAGACGCTTCACATTAAGGCATCCTCAGAAACCATGAGGTACGTAACACGAGATCTTCCTTTTCGAGTAGTGTTCTTCGCTCTTCCTCTTTTCCTGTTGTTCTTCTCGCTTCTTTTCATTTTTTTTTTAACAATTGAATAAATAGGGAAGAAAAAAATTTAGTTTGAGTTGAATAGCTAGATATGATCATCAATTTAGGCCAAATTCTCTGAAACAGAGGAGATTGAGAGAAAAGTACTTAAATAAAAAAGGGCTAATTTTCTGAAACTAACGGGAGATAGCGAGTAAGGTCATTAGCTTTGTTGAAATCGTTGTCCTCTCTAGCCTTGAGGATTTGAAAGAGAAGAGCAAGATAAAAACGCGTCGTCGCAGCACTCTGCTGGGAAATGAGCTGAGTTTCCTTCCAGCTGAGGTGGTGACAATATTGGGATTCAATCATTTTAAACTTTCTGTCTAACTTCTCTTTGCTCCTCCCTGATGCATTTTTGCTGCTTAATTACCAATCTCTTCCTTCAACTTTCTAAGGCTTGGTTTCAACCTTTTCATCCCTTTTCTTTTCTGAGTGCAATATCAAACCCTCAATATATGTGAGATATGAAGAGCTACCAATCAAAAGCAAACAACAGCAAAATATATACCCTGTTGCTTCCAAAGCCAAAGTTGGAGAATTTATACATGTTGCTTGGTGCCATAGGTAGCCTCCTTATTTGCCTTTCAAACTAAACATCAAAGCATTTAGAAACCATGAGGTAACATGAGATCTTCCTTTTCCGGTGCATGGCTTCTTCGGCTCTCCCTATTTTCTTCTTCTTGTTCTTCTTGCCTTTTTTTACCTTCGAAAAATGAATAAAATAGGAAAAAAAAATTTAGTTTGAGTTGAATACCTAGATAACTACAGTTTATATGTTGTTTGGACACAACCCGTGATTTCCACCACCGGAGCAAGAACATCTCCTGGTGTTGATCGTAGGAGTGACTTCGACGTGAAGGGTGACGGCACCGGAGGAACGTGCGGTAGTTTTCACTTCTTTGTTCAGCACGCAGTATCGGGGTCTCATGGCGGTGGGCGGGTTCGGACTCGGGCATGGATCTGGGTTCGAGGATGTGAGTTCTGGGCTTGGAAGAGGGGTGTGGCCTTTTACTGGGGTTGGGAGACGGTGCTGCTGGTCTTAGATCTAATGGTGCGGCTGCAATTGGGATGGGTAACACGTGGCAATTTGAGAGCGGAGAAACTGGGTTTGTTCATTGTTGGTGGTGATTGTTTTGTTGGTCTGATCTTGCTATTTCCACCCATGCTATTTCCTTAATATTTTTTTTTACCTCAAACGAAGAGTTATATAATTAAGAATAATTTTTCTCTTTTCAAACCTTTCTTTATCTATCTTTAAATTTAAATTTAAATTTTTAATATAAAAATTAAAGATTTTAACTATTAAAACGTCCTTAGTTTTGATCCCTAGCGGACGCTATTTCCTTATAATTAGTGAATCATAGGGGTTCATATTCTTAAAACATAATCCCTTGGCTTTGTGTGTGTTCAGTTGTTGGACTTGGATATCATGGGAACATGAACATCATTGTTGGGAAGCAACTAATGTTTTGTTTTGAAAGAAAAAGTACAAATAATGATTTAATGTTATAGTTTTATATTTAAAAATATTAATTTTATCAAATTTTAAATAAAAATTAATTTTAATTTTTTTATTTAAAAATATTAATCTTTAATTTTTATTATTTATGATTTAATTAAACAGTTAGGTTAATATCGTAACGGATTTTTTTAATAAAAATGATAAAAATTAATATTTTTAAATTAAAAAAATTAAAAGTAAATACAAAATTGAACCTGACCCTTTAAGTCAAGTGACTCTAATCACGTTTGTAAGATTCATATCCCTTTCTCCAGATAACAGTTCGAGCCGGTTTATGACAAAAATATTAAAAAAAAAAAAAAAAAAGAGTAAGTACAAAATTAACATTACTATTTGCGCATTTTCTAGGGATCAGTTGATTCTTCTTCT